CCTTGACCACTTTGAAGCCAAAGTCTTTCTCCACCTTTATCTGCATGGGGGCCAGATCTGGAGTCAGTGGGACTCCCGCCCCGCACCCTTCCCGTGGCACTCGCCACCTCTTCCAACCGCTGGGCCCCTCACCAGGGGCCGGGCTGCTGGCTTCTGCAGGCGCTGTTGTCCTCCTGGGCAGGGACAGCCCCTCTTTATCCAGAGGCTTGTTCTCAGCGTTGCCTGGGGTGGGGGCATCTGTGCCCTGGCTGCCCTCGTCCTCCAGTAAGATGGTGAACTGGCTGGCCCAGTAGTCGTCGCCGTAGGAGTCCAGCACCCTCTTGAGGAACATCTGCTTCTGCTGGAGTCTCCGTGTTATCCTCTGTATCTGATGGTGCCTGTTCAGGCCCCGCTCGTTCACCTGCTCGATATCCCTGCAGCGCCGACCCAGTACCTGGTACTTCCTGTGATTGAGTTCCCCTTGGCACCGGAACTCCACTTTGGTCTCAAGCTCGCTCTCCAGGATGTGACCACCTGCAGCGCCAGTTCCCAGCCGGGAGGTGCTGAGAACTCCTTAAAGCCCACAGCTGCCATGGACTCCTCTCTCTGCCCCAGCTCCATTTCTCCCTGGCTCCCGCCAGAACTTCCAACCTTGCAAGCCTCTAGTTTAAAGTGGCTTGCAAAACTACATGCCCATCAGATTTCACAGCAGGGCACACAGGCCCTGGATGCTAAGCCTCCTGGGAGTTGTAGTTCTCTATTTCCCGCTCGCTTTCCTTGCCCCACCCCCACCCAAGTTCCTGCTAAAAGGCCCTGCTTGCTGGTCTAACGCCGCTGGCCAGGCGTCTGAGTCACCTCCATCTTTATTCCTGTCCTGACACCGCACAGGAGACTCTCCGCTTGGGAGGCCCCTGGGTCTCCTTCTGGGGCTGGGGATGCGCCACTGCCCGGGCACCAGATCGTGTGCCCCGATGGTGACACAGCCCCGGCCACTGGGTCTCCTTCTGGGGCCTGGCTGCATCGCCCCGGGACCGGATTGCGTCTCCAGGCAGGGATGCAATCTGGCCTCTGGTCCCGCCTCTGGGTGTTCTCCGATCACGGGTCATCGGTGATCTGAGAAGCCCAGTGGGGCAGGGAAGAGGCGGACATCCCCTCTTCCCTACCCCACCCGGCTTCTCTGATTTCTGGCCCAGGGCTGGCAAAGGCAGTCCAGTTCTCCGGCTCTTGTCTGCCACCTGGGTTCTAACACTGGCAGGTGGCTTCTTCCATCCTTCCCCTTTTGCCTCCCATCATTGTGCCTATGTATGCAAATTAACCGCCATCTTTCTTGGCAGTTAACCGCCATTTTTCTTGGCAGTTAATTTGCATATCACCCTGATTAGCCAATGGGAAGCGTATCGGAGGTACGGTTAATTACCATGTTTGTCTATTGTTAGATCGGATTGCTCTTTCTGATGGAGTCAGATAGTTTTCTTAGAGTTCTTATATATCATTTTTATGCTTAAATTTCTTCTTCCCTCTGTATCTTTTCTAGATTTCTCTCTTTGATACCACTAATCCTTTCCTCCATCTGCTTTGCTCTATTTCCTATGCTTGCTTGTTCATTCTTGATCTCTTATCGAGTTCTTCATCTCCAGAATTTGGTTGCTTCTTTTTTAAAGTTTCAGTCTTTTTAGTATGGTGTTAATTTCCTATGCTTATATGTTTTTTGAGTGCATTAAATTGCCTGTTTGTATTTTCTCACATTTTGCATTTTCATAACTGCAGTCTTGAATTTGCTGTCATTTATATCACATATTTTTATGTCTTTAAGTTTGTTTTCTGGAGATTTTTCATTCTCTTTGTGAGCTGCCTTGCTACCTTGTTTATTTGTGGTATTTGATAGATTTTTTTTCTCTGTCCAGGCATCTATGTATATGAGTGGCATTTCTCTAGCAGATTAATGCAAAGGGGTCTTTCTCTTATTTTCTAATAGGTGGTGCTAAATCACAAGTTTTGTGTGTTTTTTCAGTCCTCATCTGAGGATATTTTTCCATTGATTTTTTAAGAGAATGTAAAAGAAGGAGGGAGAGACAGAGAGAAATATTGATGTGAGAGAAGCACATCAATTGGTTGCCTTCTGTATGCACCTTGACCAGAGCTGGGGAGGAGCCTATAACCTAGGTATGTGCCCTTGACCAGAATTGAACCCGGGATCTTTTAGTCCACAGTCTGACACTATCCACTGAGCCAAACTGGCTAGGGCACAAGTTGTTGATACATATATATATCTGTGAGATCCCGTGTTGTTCTCTGTAGCCAGACACTTTCCTCACTGTAGCTGTGATGTCTGGTGGTGGGGCGGGCTGGGGAGCTGGCCAGCTCTTTCGCTGTTTTGCCCTCCTAGTAATGGTGACCTTAATCTCCATGGGTCCCCCCCTGTGCCCTGACCCCCAAATTGATTACAGAGTGTCCCCTTTGTTCAGGGAAAAAAATGATTTTGTATACCAGTTCTCGTGTTTGCAGATATTGTGCCCCATAACCCAACACCAAGGGTGAAGGGAGGCTGCCTCTGGGAGGCTACGGGTGATGGCAGGGCTTTGTAGCTTTGTTTCTCTACCTGTAATGCCCACCACCTAAAAACTGTGCCTGAGCTCAGTGCTGTGTCCTTGTCAAGGTCTCTGCTCAGCGGAAGCTCATACTATTTGCTTGTCGG